ATGGTCAAAATTGTAAAAATATTATTATACATTATGGTTGTACAATAAACGATTCATATGTTGAATATCCTAAAGGAGGTATATTTGCTCCATATGTAAAAACATTTTATAAGTTGGAAAATCTTCATACGAATAAACAACCGGATAATTATTCATTTACTGATAGTATTAAATGCATCGGATTTCAAGCTTATGCTAAAGAACTATTTCTACTAGACTATGATTCTTATACATATGCTACTTCCTCTCACTGGCGTCCATTCGAACAAATATTTTGCAACATAAATAATGCATCATTTTTTATTCGTAATTCATCAGGTCCACAATACGATCAAAACTGTTGGAATAATTCGTATAAATCGTTCAAATGTCCATATTCTGATCGATGTATATCTATATATCGTGTAGCTGATGGAAACGCTGATTGTGAAGTAAATGATGATGAACCATTTTTAACAAATGGTGCATATTTTGCACCCGTAAATTGTTCATCAATTCAAAAACATCGTTTTCGTTGCTCAATAGAAGAACCATCATGTTTTTTAAGTTCAAATATTGGAGATTCTGTTCGACATTGTATCACAAATAATCGTGATGAATATTCTGTTGAAATGGAATTAAAATTATCAAATAGTCTATGCACGGTTAAAAATTCTGTTGAATGTACATTAGTGAAAAAATATATCGAGCAATCGTCATCGCTTATTTCATTGACAAACACAACAGATAATAATACAAATATAAATTTGGCATTATTATCTTCTAAATCAATGTTATTTAGTCAATATTGTGATACATTTTGGGATTTAATATTAGGTTTTGATGAAACATCATATTTATGCAAAGAATGGATTTGTCCAAGTAACTATTATCAATGTTTGAATGGACAATGTATTCCATTGGATTGGATTTGTGATGGTGAATGGGATTGTAGTGATGGAAGCGATGAAGAAGGTTTATTATCAATAATTAAACTTTCACAACATAATTCCAAAATAATAAATTTGAATAAATTGAAATTAGAATGCCTACAAGAACATGATATTCGACCATTTTCCAATATTTGTACTATTTTTGAATATCCATGTATATTAGCCAATGTTGAAGATCCATTTAATTTTACTGAAAATCGACCATGTATAAATGTTAGTAAAATAGGCGATGGAAAATCTGATTGTTATGGTGGATTAGATGAACGAAACGTTCGTAGTTGTTCTTTACAGCGAATGTTAGGTTTTGAATTTGAATGCCAAGCTGAAAAACCTCAAGATATTGCTGATAGTCATTGTATTCCATATGGTGACCAATGTAGTCTTCGTTGTTTAAATGGTGAAGACGAAACATTATGTTTTTATTTAAAAAATAATTCTAGAATTCGTTGTGATGGTTCAATGGCTACGGAAGCAGAATCGTACAAAGACGTTCATTGTCTTAATGATACATGCATACCAAATGCAAGATGTAATGGAATTTCTGAATGTTTCTATGGTGAAGATGAATACTATTGTAGTAAAGAATCAGCAATATTTAAAAAGTATCGAGGCTTTAAACATCGTAACATGAATAATATTCTACAAACAGTTAATCTACCGAACTATCCAGAAAAAGTTGATTAAACATTAAACCAAGATCAAATTATACGGCATACAAAAGATCGTGATTACAGTAATCATTTTCTTCAAAGTTCACCTAATCTATCCTCTATTATTCATCAGATTATCTCGAATAAAATATCATCTTCACTTCAGATCATGAGTTTTGTCAATGATACACAGCGAAATAGAAATACAAATGACTACATATACTTTAATCAAAGTAACGTTAACTATACTCTTTTACAAATCGAGCAATTCCTGATAAATCAATCAATTGAGCCATGGACATGCAATCGAGGAGTAGCAGTCACAAGACGAATGAATAATTCTTCAAATCCAATCATTGAATGTTTTTGTCCACCAAGTTATTTTGGACGATTTTGTCAATATTATAGCGATCGTATAACAGTTATTACACATTTAGATGGTTTAAAATATATTTATAAAGATCATCAACAGTTACTGAATATTACAATCAAAGTATTAGCTACGTTCATTCATAACGAAAGTGATATTATTGATCATAATGAAATTCATTTTGCATCAGTATTAAACAATTTACAAGAAAAACAAAAGTTTTATTTTGTTTATCCAAGACCAAGAACATTATCTCGAAATCGTCTTTATAAAATACGCTTTGAAGCATTTGAACTAAATATGAATACCACTATTCGATTATTAGCTATTTGGGAATATTCAATTGATTTTAATTTTCTTCCATCATTTCGTATAGCAAAAATATTAAAATTTCAACAAAAACAAAAACAAGAACAACAAACTCACCATATTTGTGAAATAAATCCCTGTCAAAATAATGGTACTTGTTATCCTATAATAAATAATAATGATTCAACTATGTATTTTTGTTATTGTGTCAATAATTCATATGGAAAAAATTGTGAACATATTGATGACTGTAGTTGTTCAGTATGCTCATCGAATTCTTTATGTCGACCACATTATCATAATACTGATGATCCATTATGTTTATGTCCAATAAATCGTTTCGGTCCAACATGTCATTTAGAAAGAAAATGTGATATGTTTCATAATAAGAATCCATGTTTAAATGGAGGATCATGTTCTGTCAAATATGATCAAGATGCTTTAATAAGAGATTATGTTTGTATTTGTCAAGCCATGCATTATGGTGATCATTGTCAATATCTACCTGGCCTAATTAATATACAATATTTGATCAATGATATTAATCTTCATTCGACTCTTGCATCCGTTGTTCAACTTTATAATTATGATTTTCTAACATTAGATTTGATTTTAGAACAACAACAAGTTTATGAAGGTCAACCAACGTATTCAAATATTATCTATGCTGGACAATTGTTACCAAGTCTTGGTTTCCTTAAAGTATATTATCATGATAAACAACATCCAATGACACTAAATGTCAAATACTTTATTTTATATAGTCGAAAAGATGAAAGAAATATTAGTTTAACAGTTACTTTAAACATGAACAATTCTTGTCCGCATACACATTTATTATTTTTTTTCAATGTGTCACAAACAGAATATCTACTACCAAGTAAGTCCATTTTAGTTAATGAGTTTCTAAAACGAAATAATTGCAGCAGTACTCAAACAAAAAAGCTCTTTACACACGCTAAGATAAACGCATTCTTATCATACGCATATGATAATGAAAGCCTGTGTAAGTTGCAAGCATAGTTTGACTGTTGAAATAAAAACTAAATGTTGTTCATGGACTCAGCTGCTAAACATGTTTTCTTACTATATATCAAAAAAGAAGAAGTGATTATCATATATAGCTCAAATATTTAAAAGTTTTTATTTTGTTTATATTTGAAGATATTAGTGTTTCAAATGAAATGTATGGGAAATTGAATACATCAACAATAGTGTTTAAATATCATAGTTTATGCCAAAATAAATTATATTCATTACAATGTTTTCATGACGATAATTATCTTTGTTTATGCGATACAAATAAAAGGGCTGAATGTTTTCGTTATAATCGCACAATAGATTCATGTCGACATTGTTTACTGGACAGTCCATGTATTCAAGGAGATATAAATGTCGAATCTGATTTCTTATGTTTATGCCCAGAATGTC